AAATATAAAAGTACAATATATCTTCGAATTAAATCATTCATACCTTGCACGATACTATCTTTGACAGAGGCGAGCAGATGTTTGTCGACCTCTGAGGGCAGGGTATCGTCCACCAGGATATTGGGTCCAGTCGCGTCCGGACCAAACGCCCAGATAGAACGAGCAGCTAGCAGATCCCAATCGTATCTACACAAATGGTATTAATTTTGTAATTTCGTGTAATTATTGTGTATTTTACGATTGTTAAGAAGAAAATTAGTACCACGATATAGAATTGGCGCAACACTAGATTATTCGCATAAACGTCACATCTCTGACAGCTGTCAATGTCATTAGGAGGATTGATATTCGCGCGCAATCCTAAGTCCTGACGAGAAGTGTTACTCTGAGTTTAATACGATAGTATCCTTTAAATAAATTGTTTAAAACAATGTGTAATACTTGTTCTGGAAGAATTCTCCGAGACGCTTGCGGTCCCAGGTGACGCAGACGGCGCCGGCCTCTATGTCCTCGGCCAGTCCGCGCTCCAGCGGCTCCGCGATCATCGTCAGCTTGTTGCGCTTGTTGGGCGTCTCCGCGAAGCACTTCAGCGATGAAGTCTCCACAACAGTCTCGCAGAAGGATACTACAGGATCAGCGACTGTAACACATTATCATACTAATATTATACTAATACTTATTTTGACTAATATTATAAATGCGAAAGTTTAGATGGATGGATGTTTGTTAGAGTTTGTAGCCTAAACGACTGAAGGGATCTCGATGAAATTCGGAATAGATGTAAAGGATAGCTTTTGTTTTTTTTATTCCGCGCAGGAGTCGCCGGCGAAAGCTAGTATCTAATATTACTAATGCGAAAGTTTGCATGAATGGATGTTAAAGTAGCCTAAACTGCAGCAGTTTAGGCTACTTTAACAGTTCAGCATCAGCAGACCCATTGATCTTGATAAAAGTTGGTACAGATGTAGAGCAGTCTGGAAGAAATCATAGGCTATTTACTTTTGTTTTTTTATTTCCACGCGGACGGATTCGCTGGCAAAAGCTAGTAAAATACAAAAGATCTACAAGCTGATCATTACACATTACACCTTTTGCAATAACAGTTACAATTCTGTGTAATACGATTGAAACTTCATAGTAAATTTTGTGTTTTTTTTAAGTAAAATGAAAAATTCGTATTTTAACATTGAAATGATTTAGAAATTATAAAATGTTGTATTCACCCTTGATATCAATTTCGGAGTACATGTTGCGCAGGTCGTGCATGACGCAGTCGAGGTAGAGTTCTCCGGTGCCCAGCACCACGTGCTCGCCGC